AGAGAGTTGCTATAAGGCTTAAATGAAGTAATGGGTACAAAAGTGCTTTGAAAAGCTTTGCAGCTTTTTTCTCCACTTCATGAATGTTAGGGATTATTATTCCTCACATTTCCTTTCACAGTAGTCAAAGGGTAAAGTAGGGTTTGGTGTGTATTACACAGAGTGTGCCTCTTTCTAGCCTCTACTAGAATGGTGGGCCATTCTCAGGGAAACCTGAATACAACCAGAAAGATAGGAAGAGAATAAACATCTGGCTTCCAGTTTTCCTGAAAAGGTATCACAGCTATGGAAAATACAAAGGTGGTGGAATTTCTTTTCTTTTCTTTTCTTTTTTAGATAGTTTCACTTTGTCATCCAGGCGGGAGTGCCTTGGTGTGAACTCAGCTCACTGCAACCTCTGCCTCCCAGGTCCAAGCAATTCTTGTGCGTCAGCCTCCAGAGTAGCTGGAATTACAGGTGTGAGCCATTACGCCCAGCTAATTTTTGTATTTTTAGTAGAGACAGGATTTCACCATGTTGGCTAGGCTGGCTCAAACTCCTGGCCTCAAGTGATCTGCCTGTCTTGGCCTTCCAAAAATCTGGGATTACAGGCATGAGCCACTGTGCCTAGTCTTCTTTCCTTTTTTAAATTCTTTTCTTCTTTTTAAATTTTAATTAGAGGCAGGGTCTCATTATGTTGCCCAGGCTGGTCTGGAACTCCTGGGTTCAAGTGATCCTCCTGCCTCAGCCTCCCAAAGTGCTAGGATTGCACATATGAGCCACCAGGCCTGGCCAGGTGGTAAGATTTTGAAAGGGAAATTCCCAAGTGAAGTTATTCTTTATTGCTCCTAATTTAGCTATCCTTTCTGAAAAGTTTAGTGAAGAGGTGAGAACTTCTTCCTTTTGGAGAAGATCCTCTTCTCTGTTCCATTTCTCCAGATTCCAAAAGGGAAATATTACTCTGGCTATCACTGAGGTTGACATCATTTTTTTTTTTCCTTCTTCTTATGTATCTCTCTTCCTTCTCTTCCCCTTTCCTTTTCTTTTTTTGTATTTACAATTTCATGATTTTTTCCTCTTCTCCTCTCTTCCTGATCTTGGTCCTTTAGTTGGCCATATACCAAAGTATATTTATTGTCAGCAGTATTTCTTGAGGTGTTTTTCGTTTATTGTTTTTAATAAAAATAAAACTATTTGGGGTGAAAGTTATATATATCCCTTTATGAAAGTAAATTCTAAGATGTATTAACATTTCTTATTGATACATAATAATTGTACATATTTATGGGGTACATGTGACATTTTGATACATGTATACAATGTGTAATGATCAAACTAGAATAACTGGCATATCCATCATCCCAAATATTTATCATTTCTTTGTGTTGGGAACATTTCAAATATTCTAGGTATTTTGAAATGTACAACAGGCTGGACATGGTGGCTCATGCCTGTAATCCTAGCATTTTAGGAGGTTGAGGCAGGTGGATCACTTGAGCCCTAGGAGTGGGCTAGCCTGGGCAACATAGCGAGACTGTGTCTTTATAAAAAGATGAAAAAAATTAGCTGGGCATGGTGGTGCATGCCTATGGTCCTAGCTACTCAGGAGGCTGAGGCAGGAGAATTGTTGGAGCCCAGGAAGTTGAGGCTGCAATGAGCTGTGGTTGCACCATTGCACTCCAGCCTGGGTGACAGATTGAGACCCTGTCTCAAAAGAAAAAAAGAAATATATAATAAATTATTAATTACAGTCACCTTACTATGCTATCAAACACTAGACTTTACTCCTTCTAACTGCATTTTTGTATCCATTAGCTAACCTCCCTCCAACCCCCCCACCACCGCCAACTCTTCACAGGCTGTGATAGCTATCACTCTACCTCCATGAGATCAACTTTTTCAGCTCTCACACATGAGTAAGAACATGTGATATTTGTCTTTCTGTGTCTGGCTTATTTCACTTAACACAATGACCTCCAGTTCCATCCATGTTGCTGCAAATGACAGGATTTCATTATTTTTTATGTCTGAGTAGTATTCCATCATGTATATATAACACATTTTCTTTATCCATGCATCTGTTGGTGGACACTTAGGTTGATCCGTATCTTGGCTATTGTGAATAGTGCTGCAATAAACATGGTGGTGCAGGTATCTCTTTGATTACTGATTTCCTTGCGTTTGAATAAATGCCCAGTAGTGGAATTGCTGGATCATATAGTAGTTCTGTTTTTAGTTTTTTGAGAAATGTCCATACTGTTTTCTATAATGGCAATACTAATCTGTATTCTCAACAGTGTATGAGACTTTCCTTTTCTCTTTTTTTTTTTTTTTTAGACGGAGTTTCCCTCTTGTTACCCAGGCTGGAGTGCAATGGCGCAATCTCGGCTCACCGCAACCTCCGCCTCCTGGGTTCAGGCAATTCTCCTGCTTCAGCCTCCTCAGTAGCTGGGATTACAGGCACGCGCCACCATGCCCAGCCAATTTTTTGTATTTTTTTAGTAGAGACGGGGTTTCACCATGTTGACGAGGATGGTCTCGATCTCTTGACCTCGTGATCCACCCGCCTCGGCCTCCCAAAGTGCTGGGATTACAGGCGTGAGCCACTGCGCCCGGCCTCCTTTTCTCTTTTATATGGAGTGAGATAATATCTCATTGTGGTTTTGATTTGCATTTTCATAATAATAAATGGTGTTGAGCATTTTTTCATATACTGTTGGCTATCTGTATGTATTCCTTTGAGAAATGTTTATGCAGATCCTTTGTCTACTTTTTAATGGGATTATTATTTATTTATTTTTGTTGTTGAGTTGAGTTCTTTTTATATTCTGGATATCAGTCTCTTGTTGGATGAATAGTTTGCAAATATTTTCTCCCATTCAGCAGGTTGTCTCTTCGTTCTGTTGATGTTTCCTTTTCTGTGAAGAAGTTTTCAGTTTAATATTGTTCCATTTGTCTATTTTTGTTTTTCTAGCCTGTGCTTTCAAGGTCTTAGCCATAAAATCCTTGTCCAGACCAATGTCCTGAAGCATTTCTCCAATGTTTTCTTCCAGTAGTTCTATAGTTTTAGGTCTTATGATTAAGTCTTTAATACAACTTCAGTTGATATTTGTATATGGAGAGAGAGAGAGAGAGAGAGAGAGAGATATCTAGTTTTATTCTTCTGCATATGGATATCTAGTTTTCCCAGCACCGTTTATTGGAAATACTGTCCTTTCCCAATGTATGTTCTTGGTGCATTTGTTGGAAGTCAGTTGACTGTAAATGTGTGGGTTTATTTCTGGGTTCTCCAGTCTTTTCTATTGGTTTATGTGTTTCTTTTTACGTCAGTACCATGCTGTTTTGGTTACTATGGCTTGTAGTATATTTTGAAGTCAGGTAGTGTGATGCCTCCAGCTTTGTTCTTTTTGCTCAGGATTGCTTTTGCTATTCAGGGTCTTTTGTGGTTTTATACAAATTTTAGGATTTTTTTTCTATTTTCGTGAAGAATGTCATTGGCATTTTGATAGGGATCACGTTGAATCTGTAGATTGCTTTGGGTAGTATGGTAATTTTAACAATAGTAATTCTTCCAATCCATGAGCATGGGATGCCTTTCCATGTTTTTGTGTTCTCTCTCTCTCTCTCTGTAATCAAAGAGATACCTGCACCCTCATGTTTATTGCAGCATTATTCACAATAGCCAAGATATGAATCAACCTAAGTGTCCATCAACAGATGAATGATAAATCTCTCTCTCTGTCTGTCTGTCTCTCTCTCTCTTTTAGATGGAGTCTTGCTCTGTTGCCCAGGCTGGAGTGCAGTAGTATGATCTTGGCTTACTGTAACCTCTGTCTCCCAGATTCAAGTGATTCTCTTGTCTCAGCCTCCCAAGTAGATGGGACTACAGGCACGTGCCACCATGGCCAGGTAATTATTGTATTTTTAGTAGATATGTGATTTTACCATGTTGGCCAGGCTCATCTTGAATTCCTAGACTCAAGTGATCTGCCTGCCCCAGCCTCCCAAAGTGGTGGGATTACAGGCATGAGCCACTGCACCCAGCCTGGACTTTCTTTTAAAAGTAGCACTTTTAATCCCAGCACTTTGGGAGGCCGAGGGGGATGGATCACCTGAGGCCAGGAGTTCGAGATCAGCCTAACCAACATGGTGAAACCCTGTTGGCAGGCGTCTGTAATTCCAGGCACTCAGGAGGCTGAAGCAGGAGAACGGATTGAACCTGGCAGGCGGAGGTTGCAGTGGGCCGAGACTGTGCCATCGTCCCTCCTGGGCAACAAGAGCGAAACTCCCTCTCAAAAAAAAAAAAAGAGTGGCTAGAGTACTGGCTACTTTTTTCTTGCGGTGGAAGCAAGCACATTTGAAAAACATAGTGTGTATGCTTTAGGATAGGGAGGAATGGTGAGAGAGGACATGGGCAGGGGTGGAAAGATGTGGGTTCTCGTATTGATTTTTGGTGTGAGCTTGAGCAAGTTTTGTACTTACAAAAAATGCCTGTTGTACTACCAAAAGAAGTGCTTCCTTTGGAGAGTGAGGATCCTGTATTACCGAGGTTTGTATTTTCAGGCCCTAGCGTCTAAATGTGCTACATACTAGATATTCAACTAGTATTGGAGGAATGAAGGTGAACACGGCAGTTTCCTCATCTGTAAAAGCAGAGTTTGGACCAAATGATCTGCAAAATGGGTCTTTTTATACTCTTACTACTCTAGTACTTACGAGTAACCGACGTTATTCTCAACTCCTGGTCTGAGCCATGTCTGAGGAGGTGGCCTAACTCCTATACCACCCCGAACACTCTGGGGCCAGTGGGACCCTGTTTGGACAGACGTCTGTGTCTTCTAGCTCTTTAGGACGTGAGCAGTACTGCTGTGGAAGAAAGAAACCTAATTTCCCATGCCTTGTCCCTTTTCTGGAAAGGGCGCGGCGTGGTGTGGTCACCACACCTGCCACCGCCTTCTAAGCGAGAAAACATCACAGCCTTCCCCCCTCCCCGAAAAGCGCTATTCTCCGATTGGGTCTAGATGACCCCTTCCCAACCAGGGCCGATGGCCAAAGACTCCGCTCCCTTGAAGTGTGGGCTTGGAAAGGCACCGGACCCGCCTTCCCTGGGCGGTGGAGCAGGTGAAGGGCGGAGGGCAGGCGGCGCGCTGGGTTAGTTACCTGGCGCTGGGCGGGGAAGGCGGGAGGCGGGGGCGGGGCCTGGGTGAGATCCCAGGCTGTGATTGGTCCGCGCCGCGCCTGTCTCCATGTGCCGCGCGGCTGAGGCACAACATTCAAGCCCGGGGGCGGGGCCCGCGGGCGCCGGGAGGAAGCGGCAGCGCGGTAGCTGCGGGGCGTGGGGGCGGCGGCGGCGGCGGTGGCTGAGGCCGAGGTGGCGGTGGCTGTGGCGGACACAGCGGCACCCCAGCTAGGGACAGGGCTCCGCCGCGCCCCCTTGCAGGCCCCATGGAGGCGGCAGCGGCGGCAGCAGCGGCGGCGGGTGGGGGCTGTGGCTCCGGGCCGCCGCCGCTGCTGCTGAGTGAGGGCGAGCAGCAGTGCTATTCCGAGCTCTTCGCGCGCTGCGCTGGCGCCGCGGGCGGGGGCCCCGGGCCTGGGGCCCCCGAGGCCTCCAGAGTCGCCCCCGGCACGGTCACTGCGGCCGCCGGCCCGGTGGCTGACCTGTTTCGGGCGTCGCAGCTGCCCGCCGAGACGCTGCACCAGGTAGGTCCCTCCGCCTCCTGTCCCTGCGGGTTTGTGGGGACAGTGTCTGCGGGGGCGGAGGTTGCGAGTGGGGCGGCAGGGCTACCCTCAGGGACCCGGAGGCCTCGGCCAGTTCTCAGAGAGGGCTCTGCAGCCGGGGATGGCGGCGACGCCCTTGTCCCCGGGGGACACCAGCCTCCTCCGCAGCTCAGCTCCTCGCCCAGTGCTGGGTGCGCTCTCCCCATTTTCCTTCCCTGAGACTGACACTCCCTCCCCTCCCCCGGCCATTTCTGGGGTTCTGCAGCCGTGCAGACCTAAAGTTTGTCCTGTTCTGGAAGTGGTGTTTGTTTTGGCTGCTGTCTGTTTTAACCTCTGCTCGCTGCTCCTGCCCCTCCCTCTCCTGAGTGGGCCCTCAGGGTGCCTTGTTGGGATTTGAACTTGAAGGGCTTGTGTCTGTAGGGTTCGAGCCCAGGGCTGAATATTGTCCTCTCTATGTACTTGTGATATGTATGTATCTACTATATATAACTGCCCGTAACATATTTGTAAATATTAATATTAAATCGAAAACCTTAATGACAAGTTGCAGAGCAGGGACACGGTACTGCAAGAGGACGTTTGTCAGGTCAAAGCCAAATTTCCCATTTGACGCTAGAGGTGGACTTCAGAAGTTCACCATGGGGAACAGCTGTAGTTTCCTATCTTATCATTACTTGGGCTTCAAATAGAAGTGAAAAGTAAGGGGTGTCATAGCTACCACCTTTTGGCTGTTCTATACCTAGAAAAGGACTAGGGGATGATCCATACCAGACGCTGTTTTTGTTTTTTGCTTTCTTTGGAGCTTGGAGAAAGACTACTTGACAAGCCCTTTGTTTGTCATTTCATGCCACTAGGACTTCATGGTGATAAGATTGTTAATATCAGGTTCAAAACGTGAAATGAAGCTTTTCCTAAAAGCAATAGTATGAATGTTATTAACACCAATCGAATATTTAGAGTGACGAGTGGTATTTTAAAATCTAGTTTCAAAGGAGATCTGAGGGTTTTACGGCTCACTTGCAATTTCATTGTGTTCATTTGTATTTAAAAAAAATACAAGACTGCGTTTTATACTGCTAGAGCGTGCATATGGCTCTATGTTAGTGAGCATAACTTTAGACGCTTTGTAATCATTCACCTTTCTGCATTTGGGATTTCTGAAAATATAACTAGTATTCACAGAACTTAGCATGGCTGCTTGTCCCTAAAGAAGTCCTTGATATGTAGACAGTTCTGCCATTGCTGATGAGTATTTGAGCTGTACCAGGTAAAGAGAAACTCAGTGTCTTAAAACACAAACCATGGCTATTACATGAGGCCCTCAGAATACTCCCGAGCATAATATGTTTATTCAATGCTGTAGCTGCTTCCCAGCTGAAAGAGGAATAATTGACTGAGGCTATACAGCAGTAAGTGACAGCTGGGTACCTATTAAACTTATTTTGTTGTCAGTAATGCATCGGATATTATAAGAGGAGGTGGGCATATTAAATCTGAATATGTTGGTTGATGCCTCCTTAGGAATTGGGAAGGATATCCTGTCGTTAGAACCCATACTTTCTTGAGGTACATATGTTTTAAGACCAAAGGCACAGTGCCTTTGCATGAATAAAATTATATTTTTGATGTCCAGTTGAAATCTGCTTGCAAAAGACTGCTTCAAATACTGACAAAAAGGGACATCCCTACAAGATTGCTTGGAGTAAATCTCTCAGAGCTTGACGCTCCCTTATTCAGCCCATCAAAGCAAAAACACATCACCCCCCTTTAATCCAACAAAATCACCATAACTCAGTATTCTTGGTACAGGTGAAAATGAACATTGAAGGCAAACTGGATATGTAATTCTAAGAGAGTCAAAGCCAGCAAACACCTAATTTTCACTCATCACTTTGGTGGTGAGTGTATGCTCCATCCACCTTAATTTCCATTACCCCATCAGTGTATTAGCCATTCTTTAAAACAAGTGTAGATGTTTTTACCCTTTCCCTGTTAATCAGGAACCTGTAAGTTGAGATTTAAGTGGCCGAACAGGTATAACTGCTCAAATCTTGAGGCACTAACAAGCCCTGGTATTTTCTGTGGTAACAACCAGGTTTTCCTCTTAATAAGCATACAATTAAGATTACCATAATAATGTTCCAGGAAGAGTGAGAATCTTGCAGTCTTACCACAAGTAAATGCTTTATAAAAATACCTAATTTTATTTGCTCCTTGGAGTAAAAATAAACCGCTATACTTGTTACTTTGTTATGGAAGTGAGCCTCTTAGGGTTTTTTCCCCAGTTGAGATACACACACACACACACATACATATACATATATGTGTGTGTGAGATATATGGCATATGTATACAAAATCTCAACTTTTCTTTTTTTGAGACTGAGTCTCACTCTGTTGCCCAGGCTGGAGTGCAGTGGCATGATCTCAGCTCATGGCAACCTCTGTCTCCTGGGTTCAAGCAATTCTCATGCCTCAGCCTCTCGAGTAGCTGGGATTACAGGCACCTGCTACCACGCCCAGCTAAGTTTTGTATTTTTAGTAGAGTCAGCGTTTTACCGTGTTGGCCAGGCTGGTCTCAAACTCCTGACTTCAGGTGATCCACCTGCCTCAGCCTCCCAAAGTGCTGGGATTACAGGCGTGAGCCACCGTGTCCAGCCTCAACATATTTTTTAATAGACTATTTTTTCAGAGCAGTTTTAGGTTCACAGCAAAATTTAGCAGAGTACCCATATATCCCCTGTCCCGACACACCCATAGCTTTTCCTACTCTCAACATCCCACACCAGAATGATAGAGTTTTTACAATTGATAAACCTACATTGACACATCGTTATTCCCCAAAGTCTATATATTAAGGCTCACTCTTGGTGTTGTACATTCTGTGGGTTTGGAAAAATGTATAATGACATGGATCCACGATTGTAGTATCATACAGAATAGTTTCACTGCTCTAAAAATCTGTGCTCCACTGATTCATCCCTCCCTCTCCATTAACACGTGGCAACCACTG